AATTGTTTTCATAAACCAATGGAGTTCAACCTATAACTAAGCTGATATCCTTCTCCTTTTTTTCTTAAAGTGTGTCAGAATATTTAAAACCTGACATAGATTACTGTATAGATGGGTGAAGCAAAAGAAAATAAATGAATGAATCTTTATTTGCATACATGTCTAGTGATGCACCAAACTCCGAAGTCCCACCAGTTAAGCCTGTATATCCTAGTCAAGCGTTGTATGCTACCCAGTAGTTTAGTGAAGAAAGTCGACCTCTGAGGTCTATTCAGCCAACACAGGATCTGAGTCACTCTGCAGAAGTGCCTGTCTCTCATGATGGATTACAGATGGATCTCAGTGAAATCAGGCTTCCAAATTGGTGCCTTGAATACATACAGTTCAGATGTGGATTCAGAACTTTTTGTCCGAGATTATATCTTTGTGCCTTGGACCTCTAGGTATGCAACATGTAGTAGAAAAACATGATCAGAATGCACTTAGAATGAAGTTAAGAGTCTTAAGTACAAAAGCATGTGATCAGAGCCAAATGATTGTGGTTTAAATTACCATCTTTCAGCTGAGACAAAAAATGACAGATTTTAATTCCTAGCCTATTGCAACTTTGCAAATGGCTAAAATTCTATGAGTGTTTTCCCTGGAAAACTTGACTCATTCTTCTGAGGTTTAGAGACCTAATGGCAATTTTCCAGCGTTAACTGGACCCATGTTCACTTTACATTGTGTGTAGCATTTCAAATGCAGGTTTGCTACCATTTTCTGTCCCTACTAATACATCTTCAATGGGTACATCAAACTTTTTTCAGCTAAAGACTTAGTCACACCATCATTCCAGGGCTGACGTGAGTATACACTCGGGATCTTCTTGTTGTTTCCAACTGGGGGGGGGGCCTTAGCCTATGGCATCCTTTCCTTGTCCTTGGTGTGTGACCCTGTGCTTTCTATTTCTAGTTTCAATCCACTTTTATTACTTCAGTCCTTCAGACTGTCAGTCAAATTAATTCTGTATGGTTTTCCGTCTTCACCTTTATACTGAGGGCTAATGGGTTTGTGTCATCAACAAATGTTGTTAGCGTACTCTGAATTTTTCTGTCAATATCAGTAAAACATATTTGGTCCCAAAAAGATCCTTTGAAACATCACCGGTAATTTTCTTCTATCCCAGTAATATCCCTTTTGGTCCTAATGTTGTTTACTTCCCTTAAACCAAGTTGTGACCTGATCCAGAATAATTTTTGTTTCCTAAGTGGCATTGTATCCAATATATATGATCATATCAGCTAGATTTCCTGTGATCCTTTTCTTAAAATACCAGTTACCTTATAAAGAGAGATGCCAGGTTAATTTGGCCTAATTACAGTCTGTTTTTTAGATAAAGCTGTTATTCATCATATTCAATTTTTCATTACCTCAGTGTCTCTAGCTATGCAATGCTTCATAATTTGTTTCAAATCCTTGCACAGCTCATGAGGTCAGAGCCACTTGTTTTTATGCTATGTTTCTTAAAAGAAAAAAAAGTTAAGTTTTTTTTTTTAATTTTTCAGACATTTGATTGCCAGCCTGATAGATTCATTAAAAGTCTTTGTTATTAAACTGGGCTTTCATGTGAAAGCATTGTGAGTACTCTCGAGTGGAGATTATGGAGTCTCATCCTCCTGGTCTAGACACTTCCTCAAAAACAGTTTTATGTCTTTGTTTTGTTCTCATCTTATATGAGTAATTTTCATCTCCACAGTCTGTATCATTAACCACACTGCATTTGCTACTGTAGTCAACATCCCCATATTAATTTTGTTTTGGACTGTCTGTAAATTATCTTTAATCTTAACTGCTTTTTGCTGCTTGGTAAAGCCACTCTTTTTCCTGCTTTCTTTTTATTTGGATGATGAAAGCACATTTTAGTACTTACAGTTTTGGAGATCTAACTCTGCCTAACATTTTCTGTTCTCACTTTCACATCTGACAGTTTTCCTTGCATATTAGGTTCATTTTCCACCCTACAAGCTTTCTGCATACTCCAGATATACTCTCTGAGGTGAGTGCTTATCTAGTTAGAAATGGATCCCTTTGTTATAAAAGGTTTTTCTACATGTTTGAAGCTGCAGTTTTTTTCACAGTCCACAGCCCCAGTCTTTTTCTTAAAGGAATTCTAGCACTTTATCGAGTCTTCATTATTTCCCTTATTTTCTGATTTTTTTAAAGTGAAATTCTGATTTATTTATGTACAGCATTTATTCATGTTACAGCCATTTTTAATAAAATGGAATGAATGTGTTCTCCGTTACTCCGAGATATAGCCTTCTTGACCAACTATTTATAAGGTCTTGTAGGTCACTTTTCTTGTGTTATGTGTCACATCCTCAGATACCTGGGTCTATCCCTTATTGGTAGAATTTATTTTCTGGGAAGTTACAATATCACCTCACAGTTTTCAAAGTGCTATATACTCCTTATTTACTATTTCATAATATTATATTCTTTCTAAATAAAACAGAAATTTATATACAACAGAAGGGATCCTACACAAACCTTTCTGAAAGGAATCTTAAACCAATTCATCGTAGAATCATAGAATCATTAGGTTGGAAAAGACCTTTAAGATTTTCAAGTCCAACCATCAACCCAACCCCACCATACCCACTAAAACATGTCCTGAAGTGCACCACCTACAAGTTTTTTGAACACCTCTAGGAATGGTGACTCCACCACTTCCTTGGGCAATTTAGAAACCTTTTGTACCCTCTCTAATTTTCTTACAGCTTATCACATGCTTGATTTGTAGTTCATGACATCACTGTTTTTGCCATGAGGAAGACCATAAGACTAGCACATGCACATGTGGGAAATAAGCAAGAAGAGGATTACTATGTCAAACTGACTTGCGGATCTACTGCATCATCTATGTGACAGGGAAGATACAGTGAGTTATACAAGCTATTGCAGGCAGTTTTATGGCCTTCTACAGTTCAATACAGTCTTCTCACCCAAATTTTTGGCCAGAATATTGCCATTGCTTTACAACTAAAAAAAAATCCAATTGCAAAATTAGGGTATTTTAAGAGGGTGGCCAAGGTGAAAATCATTAATACAATCTTATGAATTCATATTAGCTAACTTTATAGTTGCTTTCAGTTGCATTCAAGAGATTTTCCATTATTTCTCTCAGTTTAATTTCATTAATTTCAAGTTTTTGTATTTTCTTGTTAAATAAAACCAAGAAACTGCTCTTCGAGCAGGCTGTATGAATTTTAAGTGAAATTAATTTTTTCCTTTTTGCACCATATATCAGAGTGGTGCACCTGTAACTGAGAGAGGTTAGAGCTACTGAACCATCAGTACTAAGCAGCAGTGGCTTCTGCCTTGCTCTGTCAGTTCGGCATGGGAACAGGGAAATCAGTCCTCCTATTATTAGAGCATCTTTTCTTCACCAGCAGACAGCAAACTGTTAAATCACAAGTGCCTAACATTGAGAACACAAAGTCACTGTGATAAGTAATCCTTGAAAAAAAGGAAATTATAGGGAGGTGGTTATGTTTTGTCTTTAGTTTTTTTAAACTACCCTAGGACTTACCATCCTTTTCCAGAACAGCTTATGCTGCTGCCTGTCAGTGAAACAGACTAATCACGAGTAGGTTTTTATTATATATTTTATATCCTACTTTTTTTCCTTGTCCTTTACCAACTGAGAGTAATTAAGCAATTTTTAAGGTGGTAAATCCTGTTTTAAAACAAGAACTAACATGATTCTCTCACATGTTTTTACACTAAATTTTTCCAGCTACTGAGCTATATCTTGTCTTAGGACCATCTTGTAAGGCAAACAAAATTTTATTGAGCAATGAAGGATACTCCTTTTTCTCATTAAAATTTTTTATTTACAATAGTTATTTAAATTCCTTCTTATTGACAGCACACTGGGCTTGTGTTTTCAGGCAGTTGACTCTAACTGCAGGCAACAGATGCATTTAAAATAGACTGCAATAAGATTCTATTTTTGAGATGTAGTGATTGGAAGGCAATCTTCTTCTGTCAATCAGATATACATTCAAATGGTGTTTATTTTAAAATTGAATATTCTAGCTTAAAAGATTTGCAGTTGTTTTCGCATTTGCTACATAAAATTGTAAGGGAATGCTAAAGATTTTACTGATAGAAATTTGTACCTGGAATTTAGTGTGGAACATGATAGTTAATGTGTAACATAAATAGTGTAAATTGTCAGTTTATCTGTGTATTTGGCTATTTTTCAAGAAAATTAAAGAATTTTTTAAAACCAGCTTTCCTTTCTTTTATAATTCTTCGTGCTATTAGATATATTACAAATTTTAAGCAACATATTATTCAACTGATAGAAGGCTAGTATGTCATGTCCTAATAGATTGAGCAGCTGCATTGGTTCTTTAAGATTCTTCACACTTAGCGAATAATCATACATAAATATAGTCCTATGAGCACCAAAATATACTACATTGCCAATATTATGTCAATATTTAAAGACAAAATTCAGTTTTACAGCAGCAGCCAAGTAGAGTCTAAGTGAGTGGGAGAGGGCTGGAGGAACCAGTAGCCAGAGGAGGCTTTACAAAGAAGGGTTTGCACCTTTCAGTAGAGGTAGGAGCTGCAGCTGCTGCTGCATGAGGGAGTTACTGCTTGCTGCCATCGCTGGCCCTCTCCACACTCCTTTTCAGGGTTTGTGCCATAATAGATAATCCTGTGTCCTCAGTGCTTCTTAAAATAAGAATTCATATGTAGGCCTATCAAAACTACGTCCATTAGGTTTCAAAATCATGGTGATGTCAGGTGTCTCCTCACATTTAAGATCATACTTATTCATTTCTATTTTTAATTGCATATGAACTATGTTAAGTGAATCTGTCAGTTGCGTTCATTTAAAACTATAATGGATGGAATCTATTTTAGAAGCTGGATTAGAAAATATCACTTTCTGAATGAAAAAAAAGGACTTCGCACACTCTTTGCTTCCATTGCTAGGCCATGGGAAGTGTGACTGTGGGAAGTGTAAATGTGATGAAGGCTGGTATGGTGAAGCTTGTCAGTATCCAAATACTTGCAATCTTACACGGAGGAAAAGCAATGAAATGTGCAAGAATTCTCAAGATATCATCTGTTCTGGTGCAGGTAAGATGTCTTTTGTTGCTTTTGTGGCTTGATGTTCTCCCTGTGTTATCTCGAGGATCACTGTAATTTCTTCCCTAATTTGGAATTTAGTAGAGTGTGTTTCAAGAGTCTGAGAAATAACTGCATGTACACTGAAGTGCTTAATTCTCCTATAGGCCTGTTTCTGTGCATCTGATGTGCACTGATTCAGAATGCCTACTTTAGTACTCTAGTTTATCCATAGCTATTTTGGGTTGATGAAACTGCAGGTGTGTCATGTATTTTGCCCATCAAAACATTATGGTAATGGCATAGACGTAATTTTTTTTTGCATTTGTGCTTATAGTATGCAGAAATGGCATTTACAAATATTTTTCCAGGACATTTATAAGCTGTACTGTTTTATGAGATAATTTTGAGCTGTAACAATGATTATTGAAAACAGTCGTGGAGGATCTGCTGAATCATTTTAATAGGGTACTTCCATCTTCACTTTTCTGATTGGATAACTCTCTTTAATTCTTTAATTCTATAACTCATCCTAACTTAAATAGGAAGTTCTTTCCTTAAAAAAAAAAAATCACAGGAAAAAGAAACAGCCTTTTAAAGACTTCACTGGAGAATGGTAAAATTTTGAAGGGGATTTGCTGCTAGTCAAGGTTTGAGACCAGAAACTGCCTTCCAGTTTTTCCATTACATTGATCCCTGAGTGAGAGAATGTTTCAATAACCTCACTTCTGCTCGCTACTGCTAGCCTGTAATTTCTGTCTGGGTCCATACCTTTTCAAACAACTGAATTTCTCACAAGGTATTTGCTGACATGAACAAAGAACCCAAAGGGTTTGTGCAACTTGCTACAGAGAAGCTAGACTCTCACAGCAAGATGTGAAATCAATTTAACATAAAATTTTAAGCACACAGCATACTGAGTAAAGGATACATTTCATTTATGACAATTATATAGATTATATGAAACTCATGATTGTTTGGCTAACAAATGAGAGACACCTAAATGAGAAACTACTCTCAAAAATAAGCATAGTTCTTTGTGATCAGTCAAAGTACTAAACCAAGAATGTTAAGACCTTTTTTCTCTTTTGTTCCTTGGCTAGAAGTGGCCCTGGTCTGTCTATCACTGAGCCTTCACAGGAAAACAACGTATCTGAACAACCGTTAAAAGTGGCTAAGAGGGGATTTTTTTGGGAGAGAATAATAATGCTTTCAGTTTTACTGGTATTAAACAGGACAGAAATTCCGAGACTGGCTAGGGAGTTTGGGGTAACTTTGATGGTCTATAGCCATATATATTTTGTCTTGATGGGATTGCCTTTCGATCTACTGACAACATTGCTTTTGGGATCTAAGCTCTGTTTTTTAAATGCCAATAAAATATGGAAAGAGATGACATGACTCATTGCAAGAACAGTTCTTTGCTGTCATACAGGTAACTATTTATCGTAATTCTTTTCATGAACCAATCAAGATCCACCTAAAATTTTCTGAGACTTTTCTGTCTCAACTGTTCCTAATCATTTGTCAGAGCAACTAGGGCATTCTACCTAAACTGAGATTCTCTACATGAGCAATTTCAACTTCTAGTCCATGGGAAGGAATGAACACTTTTGGGACACAGTCTGACCAATTTAGATGCCCAATTTATGAATTAATTTACCATTTAATCTTTTTTCCTGCTTGGAAATGATCCATAAACAGTTTTCTCAACATTTTTATTCTTATTTATTTTCCACGTGATTGTAGCAAATAATTCTAGTTCTGTAATTTAGTTATGTTGTATTGTCAGTTGTATTATTATTTTATTATATTAGCTCTTGCAAACATTTTTGAAGTTTAATTTTTTAGACTGGCCATGTATGTCGCAGAGCCCCCTTCTTCTGTTCTTTGGATTAATGTGATGTTTAGTAAAACTTACACTATACTTGTAATGGTGAAATATAAAACTGTTTCTGCAAACTAGTTGTGCAGTATCAGCATAAAACTGCTATTTTGCAGGATTTCTTTAGTGTCAGTAATCATGTTTTCCAAAATAAGTATGGATGTAACATGAGGAGTATGAGTCTTGTGAATTAAGTTCCTTTTTTTTTTTTTTAAATCTGTGCTTGCTTGGCACAGTGGTGCCAGTGACTGCTGAAACAGCTTCTGCAAGCCCATTGACCACAGGGCCCCAGTTAACATGCTATTGCACAAAGTTCCTACCCTTACAATTTTAATAAAGGTGATAGAGGTAGGGAAAAGGAGTGTCTTATATGACCAGCATGGCAATACTTGTGTTCCTAACATGATTTTATAGTATTTTTGCTTTTTTGACCATATAACTCCTTAATGTGTTTATTTATGGTTGTTATACGCTACTATGCATTATATTCCAAACTAGAAAATATTCAGGAGGAGGAGGGGGAGGAGTTGTTTGGTTTGCCCTGGCAGTTCCACTCCAGGTCAGATAGGCTTTCTGAGGGAAAAAGGGGGATTGTTCCTTCCCTGGGAGCAACAAAACAACCTTTTTCTGTTGGGGAGGGTGGGTCATGAGAGAGGCAGCCACTGAGGTGAGGGGGTAACCCTGCTCAAAAGACCAAGAAACAAACATGCAACCAGACCAGAGGTGACAGAAGACAGATCTGTTCACAAATCGATTTCCATCTTTTGCATTGTTTGAGCACTCTGTCTTGGCTTTATGTCAGGAAGTTTTCTATTGTAGTTTAAGTTGTGAGAAAAAAATGGTTCTACACTTCCAAAGCATTTGGGAGTCCTGGGGGTACTTACATTGAGGGAGAATCTCAGGCAGACCCATATTCTCGCTAGTCTGACATGGGTAAAACCCATCCTGTGACAAATCAGCAAGTTTCTTTGTTACAGCTTTTAATATCCTTGCAAGATATAATCTTTTTTGAGCCATCACCCACAAACTGGAGGAAAATGAACCCTAAAAACTTAAAGTTAGATTGGGTCAAAATCCTAAAATGACAAGATATTATTATAGAGGTTCCTACATTTCTTGAAACGAATGAAATAACTTGTAATGTGAACATCATACCACTGGAAAAACATGCAGATTGCAGTAAAACTGTTGATACGTTATTATAATACTTATGGTCTGTTTAATAATACTGTGAATTTATTTCTCTGCAATAGGTTGTCTATTGTATAATTAATGTATTGCTGCCGTAATTGCTTTCTAAGTTGAGTCCTTTTTTCCTGACATCTGATCATAAGGTCTTCAGGCAGGTTTTCCTCATCAATGTTTCCTTCCTTTGATTCCTGTTTTTTTTCTCCAAGGCTATACTTACAAAATTTTAGATGATAGCTGTAGAAAAGGTACTAGATAATAGAGTGCAAAGGAACTTTGTAAACTTAGGCAGACATATTTGCCATGGCCTATTACTCTCATGTAACATGGCTGTGGAACTGGACAAAACCAGGCTTCATTTTTGAGAAGATGACTAAGTCAAATTTTCTCCTTTCGGTAGGGAGAAGATACCTCAGTGGTATGAAGTCAGACAGACAACTCTAGGAGTGGATTTTGCCTAGGAAGATATGGTGCTTCTTATTGTTTTATTATCATTATTGTTTATTATATCATTTATATATATATAATATATATATAAACACATATACATATATAATTATCATAGTGTTTATTATAATTAAAAATTAACCACTTGAATATTGTATCCATTCACAGCTCAGCATAGGCTTTTTGTTGATATGGATCATTTCTGTGTCTGTCTTTATTTGGCTGGATGATTTTTAGATTTCAGCCTTCTCAGAAGTAAAATATGTACCATGAACTGCAGTTACTGAGTAGTGACTTAAATGTTCACAGGCACATGTCAGTGTGGCAGGTGTAAATGTGCAAACTCAGAAGGAAATGGACTGGTCTATGGAAAATTTTGTGAATGTGATGACAGAGAATGCATAGATGAGGAGACAGAAGAGATTTGTACAGGTATGTATTATAGTGAGTACAAGAAAAATGGTGAAGATTAATACAGGCTGTTATAAAATTGTTTAATTGTGTGGAACTACAGAATGTCTTTACTGGAAGTATAACTTAAAATAAAAGTAACTATATTTGCACAAGAATTTAGTAAGTAGGAATTTCAGATGCAAGAATGAGCTAAGCAGGACGTTAAAGAATGAAGAAATCCTGTGACATCCTCCTCTTTTTGGAAGGATTGCAAAGATCATTATACAAGGTAATTCACTAAGTAATTCATAGCTCAGTGTGTTTGTCTGATAGAATACGAGAAATGTGAATGCTTTATGGCACAGATGAGAGCAAGATGGAGGACAGAAAAGAACAAAAGATAAAAGAAAATTATATTAATAAGAATATTGTGAAGGAAACAAAAAATTAAAAAAAGAACAAGAATAAATGTAGGATATGAACTCAGAAGCAATTCAGAAGATTAACAGAGAAAGGAATGAATGAAGAAAAATTTCATGTGATAGGTAAGGCATGAGAACAAGATGGAGTCAACTGTGCTGGTAGATTGAAAAGCAACCAAAATTCAAACTGTGCTTTCATTTCATTATAAGATAGGAACCTGGCAATTATATATTATGCTATACACACCAGTTATGGCATTATAAATGCTGTTGACTATATTACTACAGAGGCTTGTCCTTGAGCTGGAAGGTGCTACAAATACTTTTCAAGCTATACACATGCATATTGTGTCTGTATGAATACAGGAGGGTTCAGAACTGCTCTTAGATTATTCATTGGTCTGGTAATAGTGCTTGCACTGAGTGTGTGTAGAAAGAGAGAGAGTACTTGTGTAAAATAGATTTATCAGTCTTTGTGCTTGCACAGAGAATAAAATAAATTCTCTTTAAGTGTCTTGAAGGCAAAAAGCACCTTTTTGGCATAGGATTAGGTAGAGATTTTAAATGATGGTAAACAGAATGGTCCTCTGAAGTCCAAAGCCAGGAGCACAGTACAATACTTCCAATAATTGCCTAGAATAAAATGAGTGGAGGGCAATAATTTTTATGTGGCAATGTTTCCATTTATATTTATTTGCTTGTAACCATTACATGTGGTACAAATGTGATATAAAAAATTACCATTTATTTAGTCCAGTAAATTCTCCTTCTGCTGGTTTTTGTCATTTTTTTTTCCCCACCTGTGTTGCTGCTGGTTTACACTGCTAGGTTTTCCTTAGCTTTTATTTCACAGAATCTACTTTTTTCATCCAATCGTGCCATATTCCAAAATGCATCTCTGTAAAAAACTAGTTTTATATGTATGCAGAAATCAAAGTATGCTGATATAAAAGGACAAAAAAATGTTGGTAGATTCAAGTCTCTGAGGCCTGTGATTCATCAGCATAAAATCCCTGGTACCTTATGTAAGGTTTGGAGCCTTCTAAAGTAAATATAGGGTGCAAACTAATAGTGTGCTTGACTTGGTTTTGTTGTTGTAAACTGACAAGTTTTTGCACATAGATTATGAGTGTTAGATTTTGCTTTGCTTTCTAGCAAACCTCTACAGTACATAACCATATGCTGAACCAGGCCTTATGCAGACAAAATGGACAGCACATGAACAGAAAGTCAAAGGTAGATAATATCATCACATAAAAAGCAGACCCCACATGCCTATCTGGTTACTGCTTCTCTCTCCCATTCTGATGTCTCCTTTAATACCTTCTATGCTATCTTTCCTTTCACAGGATTTCCACCACAGGAATCTTTTAGGTTTATTTGTGAAGTAATAAAGAAACAGTGTTCCAACCCTGTTCTGCTTAGCTAGCAATGACCCCTGGATACTGTCCACAGACAGGGTGAACCTAATCACTGCCTGTTGTACTTTCACAGTTTGTATAGCACCTACTTAGTTGCTACATATCCTTTATTGCCCTTGAAGGTGTAGACAGGTCTTGAAGATTTTAATTGTTTTCAAAGAAAGCCAACTCAGGAGGATCAAGCTTCTATTTACACACCTATTTCTAAAGCCTGCAGCTGTGAGCTGGTGTTTTATCCTGGAAAAGCATGCAATGCCATGCTGAGATACGGACAACATGCATTTTAATCTTTCCACAAGGGGACGGCATTTTTCAAGCGAATCAATTCTTAGGTAGGGCCAAGTTACAAAGATGTATCAAGCTTTTCCAGCCTCAGTTGGATTTTTATCAGTCAGTTGACTGTATCACTATTTATTTTGGAGTCAAGTTGCAGCTTCTTTGTAATGAAGTATTATGGTTCCTAGCAAATTAAATTCTGATCCTGATCTTTTTATCTAAGGATTTTTTGCTCTAGTGGGGTGCTTTTGTCTTCAGTAAAGAGTAAGAGGTAGCAACAAATTGTATCATTTAATTCATATTTATTTGAGGACTATACAAGTGTGCATGAAGAATGAAGTAATGCTGGTTTAATCTGCAAAAATTGCCAGTAGATCAAATTAATTAACTCCTTCACCATTTCTCCCTTTTCTTGTCCACTGTTCAAGAACAACCTTTTGGTAACAAGCACTATTTTAGATTGTTGTTTAGTTATCTAAGAAAGATAGTATTTTTATATTCTGTTATTTTTTGACATATAACCAAACAATTGTAATGAAAATGTCATGTGTAATTGTAAAAACAGGGAAAAAAGATTATTCCACAGGTCTAAATTTGCACTCTTGATACTTAAGGATAGAAGCTGCCCAGATTGTGACAGAGATGATCAGGTCTACTAGGCTTAACATACCTAGAGGGAAAAAAGGACAAGATCCTGACTTGATCCTTCTAGTAAAGAATTAACTTATGGCTTTAAGTTTATTAAGAGTTGCAGCTACTATGCTTTGTGTAATTGAACCCACACGGCAGAAGCACCTTAATGGACCGAAATGCTCAGGAGCTGGTTTCCTAAAGCTTGAGATGACCCAAATATCTTTTGTGGAGATGTGAGTTTTGTTAAATTAATATCTAAAAGGTTAATTTAACTAATTCTTGTCTTTCATGGACTGGTTTATCCATGTTCAAAAATCTTCTTAACAGGTAAGAAGGGAAGCCATATAAAATGTAGACAGTTTGTAGTAAACCAAGGTCCCTCTGCTCAAATTATCTGAGGAGTCAAACTCACACAATGATTTCTTAGACATGCCAAGTGCAGTGGGCAAATGTGTCCTATCTTAACATTTAAAGGTGTGCTTAAATTTTAACTGTTATATTTACTGTATTCCAAATTTACCTATAAAGTTGCAAAAATTAAGCTTACAAATATAAAAATATTGATATTATTTTCTTAGTGTTTATTGATTAGATTGAATCTGTAATGAAATGAAAACATGTTCTAAAATGAACTTGGGGAAAAATATAATTCAGATATCCTTTATCTTATTTTATGTAGACATATATGGTCTATAAATTGTTTCTATTCTGAGTCTAGCACTAAGAGTTTTTAAAAGAAAAGATCAAAACAGTTAAATTGTTAATGCCTTTTCAAAACTTACCTCTTTCTCACTGTGTAAAATTTGTTTTGGCTTAAGGCCATGGAAAGTGTTACTGTGGAAACTGTTACTGTGAGGCTGGTTGGCATGGAGATAAATGTGAATTCCAGTGTGACATCACCCCCTGGGAGATCAAGAAAAGATGCACATCTCCAGATGGCAAAATCTGCAGCAACAGAGGTGTGTCATTCGCACGTTCCTTCTATGCATATTTATATAGCTTGCTTTAAATTTACAATATGCATTTTATGCAGTAGGACAAAGATTGTGTTTTCTGGTAGTTTCTAGTTTGTTCTCACTTATTTCAAATCTGGATAGATGTTTCCAAGTGAGTGGGTAGGTATAAACTTACACAAATCCACACACATTTTTGGATTAAGCTGACCCAAGTTGTTCTCATCCTTCATTTTTGCAGTAAGACTGAGCAGGATAATTTGTTATTATATCTGCTTATGTGAGAGACCTATCCTGCAAAATAAAATATTAGCAGAATTTTGACTTTGCATGGATTGGTTCTGTAAGGTCAAAAGGTCTGTAGGTCAATTCACTCTTAAAGAAGACCAAGGACCCACAACTGAATAAGTAAAATGAAAACACAAAGCTTTTAGTTTCCACTGCAACCTGAAAAAACAACTAAGTAGTGTTCAGTAACAATGCTGTGGAATGCATACAGAGCTGGAAAGGTAGACTTAAAACAGTATTTCTAACTACATGGGGTTTTATTTGCACAAAGTCCCAGAATTTGACTTTTACCTTACACTTCTGTCTGATTTTGTCATTTTGGCAAAAAATATCTCACAAAGTCCCAGAATTTGACTTTTACCTTATACTTGTCTGATTTTGTCATTTTGGCAAAAAATATCACAAAATAAGATTTCTTTTCAGTATCTTCAGTATCTGCTATATTTGGCTTCATGGAACAAAGAGTTAAAAAAAAATGTTATTTTTTTGGCAATAGTCCAGAGTAATTACAGTAGAACATAAGTGCAAGTTACATAGATACCTCTCTTAAAAACATCTCTACGGACAAAACCTGCTATAGTGTGAACATCTAATTATCTTGAGAGCATTTAGAAAACTCTTTTCTCTTAATTATGAGGAAATTGAAAGATTGGCTCAAATACAGAGATCATGTGGGCTCATTTAGTCTAGGGACTTCAGCAGTAAAAACTTTTCTATAATTCTGGAAATAATAAATATCAAAGTGGCTTTGAATCAGATGCTTTGTTTGCACTGAGAAAGTAATTTCTTGTCAAAGAATTGCTTGTCAAAGCAATTTTTTGTTCAAATTTGAAATTTTAATGTGCAAGTATCTCTTTAAATTTACATTGTAATTGGGGGAAATCAGGACAAATTATATAGTGGATATTCTGAATAGCTACAGACTCCTATACAAAGGTACATTCATGGGATACTTCTATATTTTCAGCCTTTCATGTATTTGTGATTTTATAAACACAAAAATTTTGTAGGCTTTTGACTACAGAAAACTGCTTTCCAACACAGTATTTTTACTCTCTTTAGTCCTATTTGCCCGGTTTTCTGTGTATATACATCTTGTGATATAGGTGCAGTTCATCTTGTCAGTCTTGAGCGTTCTAAAAATTAAATATCAAGGCTAACCTTGCTGTCCAGCCTCCTTCAGTACTAAGATGGATAAATGTTCTGTATCTTTCCACCAACTGACTAGTCAACCAGCTGAGACCAGATGTGAACCTTTAGATTTTCTAAACTTTGGTGAGATGGTGTTTTGATTCTGATATCCAGAACAACTGATCCAAATTCATTTTGAAGTTGTTCCTGGGAGGATTAATCACTCTCCAGAGGCATTTCCTCATTTTATGGGTTTTTTGTTTGGTTGTTGTTGTTGTTTTTTTTTCTTCTCCTTCAGTAACGCCACTGAATTGCGAAAGTATCCAAAGTCAGGTGCAAATTTCTTGAGGTTGTCTTGGTCGCTTTAGCACTAAACAGGGCAGCAGCTGTTCCTGCTTCATGTAACTGTCATGCACGCATGATTGTGTAGACCTTTTCTTTTTAGAGAACGTGCCCATATCTATATGTACTCTTTAGTCACCCTGTCCAGTTGTCCTGAAATGCATTATATTGTTCAGAGTAATGTGGATAAGAAGACAAAGGCTTTGGTGGAGTAGCAGAAGGTGAAGCTACTGTTCTGGAAATGAACTGCATGCATCTGTAAGGTTAGGCTGCTTCTTTGTGCCTTTTGGCATCTCAGAAAAAGTGAGTGTATGGTCCTGAAGCATATTTGGATTTCTGAATCAAGAAACTGTCTTTTTTTGTTCTGACTTTTCCTAAGTTGGTAGGATGCATGTTCTCTGTATATCAGTAAGGTTGTGACAAACTAGTGTCTCCGTCATATTTTACATTTCCCTTCCTGTTGTAAACCATAGGGTGTGGCCCTGAATGTTGACTTGGGAAAAGTGGAGAAGTATCATTTTCATGTAGATCTCTGCTGATTATCATCTTAGTTAAAGAATAACCTCCTAGACATTTTCAGCTGGATTAGAATTTAGATTCCCTTCTAGTTTAAATGTTTATGTTTTAACAATCATTAATTATCCACTGTGCCCAAGCCCAAGTCATTTAAAAGGCATTGATTTTTATTGTCATTAGTGTCAGGGCAAATTACTGTTGGTGTCAAAGATTTACAACAGTTCTGTGCACTACATTTTTCTGTTGATTCCTAACAAGGCAAAAGAAATTCGAATAGCAAGCCAACTTGTTTGCATAATATATTACTACTAAATAATCAGAGAAGGTTTTAAGTCATAGAAGATGAGCATATGCTCACGATTAACACTTGCAGCTTTGAAACTGCGCTCCTGTGAGAGCAGAAAATTCGCAAGTGTAAATTCCTGTAATCAAACTACAATTACTCTAAATTGCTCAGTTAATCTTCTATCTCTGTCCCTCTCTCTTTTTTTTTTTTTTTTAAATCATTCCTAGGCACATGTGTGTGTGGGGAATGTACATGCCATGATGTGGACCCAACTGGTGACTGGGGAGATATTCATGGAGATACTTGTGAGTGTGATGAAAGAAACTGCAAAGCAGTGTATGATAGATATTCTGATGACTTCTGTTCAGGTAAGGAATATACATAAAAGGAACTTATGTGTAGTTTTATAACAAAAGCATCCAATTGGTCTGATCTTGCTCTTCCTTAGTGCTCCAATTCTCATTTTCCTAGCTTAAAATATACCAAGCTTTAGCTGTTTGGGTTTGGTGGGGTTTTTTTGTTGTTTTTGGTGGTTTTTTTTTTTGAGCAGACTTTTAAAATTAAATATATAATACTGTAAAAAAAAAGTTTAGAGCGCTAAAGCTTTCTTAAAACATGTCTGGTTTTCTATGCCTTTTAGCAAAATTCTGTAAATATGAAATACTATTAGGTGCCCATCTCCCTTCTAATGCTCTTGTCTTCAGTGTAACCTAACATAAATTGGAAATGGTTGAAACTTAAAAAAACCCCAAAAGGTATAACTCTCTTTCCTTGGGGAAATTTAAATTTTAAAATTTGTTAGAACAAATTTTGTTTGTTATTCCATGTTATATGGCAGGGAGAGGACAAGTGAGAGGAAGAAATTAGAGCAAAAGTGAATTAGCAGGTTAATGAAAAACAGTACCCTAAAAATACCAATTGACCTGACAACAAGTAGAACATCAGAATGTGGAAAATATGAATGTGTGGTCCAGCTACAAATCACTGACTGTACATATTAGACACTTTTACCTTCCTTCTGTCTTCTATTTGTACTTCAGAGAGTTATATTCAGATTAGTTAATGCCCATCCATCCATCCATCCAAGGTCTGCATTATATTTAGATTGATGCTCCATGTATCAACTAACAAACACTGAAATTCCGAGCAAGACGTTGCATACAATTGGATGCATACAACTATGCATACAACATAGTTACTGATAATATTGGCAGGAGAGATGGACTTTGATCAATACACAGCATGCAATTTGTACATGCAGGAACTTTGAAAACAACAAGTAAGGATGGTTTCAAAGGGACTTGACAGATTACAGTTGTCAGCTCTAATATGTAGAAATCCATAGGAATCTGATCTGGCCTAATTAATAATAGGAAGAATGCAGTTACATCAAAGAAAGTAATGATGTGATATATTCTCCTCCTATTACTAGAACGAGAGATCCCTCACAGAAAGATCATAGGAGTTGTCTGTAATACGGAGAGAAGTCTGAAACAAACGTGACACACAAAATTCTTAGCCTCTTCTTTGCCTTTTATAAAGGTGAAAGGTTTCTCAACTGTTGTGGTGGTGGCTTTTTTTTTTTTTTAAATAAACATTGATGAAATACTAGCTAATAAAATGAGAAAAAAAAGACAGAATCATTTCTAAAAACCTTCAGTGAATTCATTTGCTGGTTACAGTTTCAGGCACCTACAAATCTTATATAGGTTTATTTAATTAATAAGCTGGAAGGATGTGGAACTGCAGTCATGAGAGCAGCAGGAGGATTGACTTATGGGATGTTGTCAATTCTTGAATGTATTGTGTTGCTGAGTATGTTTTTAGCACTTATCAAAATGTCAACATCAGCTAAGGAATACAAAGCTAAGAAACAACATGGTCAACGTGTTCTGCAGTTAAGGGTGAACACAAGAGTTTCAAACCTAATTAGACTAAAGCAAACCTGTGGCATCTACAGGTAATGCTGCATCACTGAAACAGGGCTTGAACTCCCTCTTTCCTGTCTGTTATTGCCATTGCTGCTGCCGCTGCCTAGGGTGGTAATGCTTGTAAGAAAGCAGAGTATAAGAAAATATGGACAGTCACAAAGGAGTTGTGGGGAAGATATTGCCATTTGACATTGGACTAAGGACTGGTACAATGTTCTTTATTACACAGACATAACTGCAAATGAGCAAATCTTATGAGAGATACAAAAGGAGGTACTCGTGGCTTTCCTGATGTAACTAAATCTCGTTGAAGCATAGCTTAGTTTTTCTATCTAATCATCAGAAATTTTAGTACAATTTCTTATTCTTATCCATTCACTTTCCATTATGTTTTAGAAAAGCCTAATTTAGCCTTGGCTGGCCATCCAAGTTTGCATTCCTCAAACAGATTGTGCAAAAAATCCGTTTTCACATGAAGCAGTGTGAGCAACATCTTGTAGTCCTGCTGTTTAGTCCTGTTTCAGAAATGGACAAGATGCATAAGTACTAATTTTGGTTTATTGTGGTAGACAGACAGAATCTGCAATTAAATCAAAGATTTACTAGCAGAATTGTAATTGGACAGCTTTTTTCTTTGTTTATGTGAAATACATATACCTAGTGCACAAAATGTGCACACGCTAGGTGTGTTGGCAAAATATCCTCATTTTTCTCACAATCATTTGTAAATTGATTTAGGATGAATCCAAGAGGGATCAGTCAGATTAGGGAAAATAATCCAGCTCTCTTAAAGCCTACATCAAACTGAGCTGATGATACAAAACTTTCCCTCTCTTATTCTGCCTACCTAATACCTAGAGACAGGAAATCACATTGTCCTGAGTAGCAGATTGAAAAGATATGAAATCATGTTTACATGTAAAGAGTTTTGCTGTAACTGAATGAAATGCTATGTTCAATTCATAAACTACAAATGACAGAAATTGACAGTCCTGCTGTGAGGATTTAGTATGACATAACAGCAGCTCCCTCCAGAAGCTTCATATGGCTTAGGACGACTGTCAATTTGCAGTACTCTATATTGGAAACTGGATGTGTTCTTTTAACATCTGAAGTGCTGTTCAAGATGTTACTGAATGATTTTCTTTCAGAGGTGTTCACAACATTAAAGTGATTCTCTTCCTTTAAAGAGAGAATAGCTTTCATGACTTGACATAGAAAGAAAAAAAGGCTTCCATAAGAAAATTCCTACATTCACACATCTCATTAGCTCCTTTGCTGTGACCCTAGCAAAGAAAATATTATATGAAAGAACAACATCCTCTCATAAGTATTTATCATCTGGATCAGGGAACATACGTCAAATTCACACCTTGTCAGCAGGTACACGTGAAAGCAAGGGGCAGATTTGTAGAATCTGTTTGAGTTGGAAGGGACCTTAAAGATCATCTGCTTCCAACCTCCCCCTTCCAATAGACCAGGTTGCTCAAAGCCCCATCCAACCTGGCCTTGAGCACTTGCACATTGAAAGTTGGGTTTATGTTGCTACGTTCAGACATGGTCAGGAAGAGTCAAGTTAGCTAATAAGATATCAAAAGCACATCCAACTGTCCTATTTAAATGAGAATCCATTACGTCCAGTATTTTATTATTTGCACATCACTGTTTAGTAGAAGGCATTGGTTTGAGGCTTGGAATTGGTGTGACATTGCTTGTCTCTAATGGATCACATTGATGGCAAGTAAATAAAAGATGGTATTGATATATTACTTACAGAAAATGCCGCAACCATGGTAGAAAAATAAGAACATAAAGGTAAATAAAAATATTGCCTTATGACGACCCCACTTTTCCAGACAGTGGTGAAATGTGTATTTGTAACCTCTATTCCAGCCTTTTGCATGAGGCATGTGCCCAATGGCAAAACTTCCCTTAAGAAAAAAATTAATAGGAAATAGGGCTCAAATGGAACGATAGACCAGTGCTATTTTCAGAAAACAGTAGGTATAGTGAATTGATTGTATTTTTTGCCAGTCTGGTTATTTAAGGAAACCACAACTTTGATAAAGGTCATCTAATCATGAGGTTTTGTCATGTATTCATTGTAAAGGTCATGGACAATGTAATTGTGGAAGGTGTGACTGTAAAGAAGGATGGACTGGGAAGAAGTGTGAACATCCACGTTCCTGTCCATTATCAGTTGAGGAAAGTGCTAAGAAATGCCAAGGAAATTCTAATTTGCCTTGCTCTGGAAGAGGTAAGTACATTTCTGGGAGTATTTTCATGCCCTTAAAATGTACTTCCATTAAAAGAATTTTCACAGATGTCCAGCATTAGTAGTACTGAAAAATGTAAACTTTTGTGGATTACTGTGCATGAAACACATCTGTGTAAGGTGTGAGTGATGAGAAAGGTGGAGAAGAATACAAAGGTCACCTGTTTTTCCTGTCATCTACTGCTTTGTATTTTATTTTACATATCGCAATGTTTGTTTTGGAGGTTTTCAAGGATGCTTTGAAGATTGCTGCAGTTAAGTCTTTACTAAAGATACATTATAATATGAACCAATTCTATGCATTCTTTGACAAAACCAGCATGAGGTTTTCAACCTGTGTAAAATGTTGTGGCACCATTGTGATAAGACTTGTTCATATTTACACTGCCTGAGAACCTGCCCTACTGAGTGCAGGGCTGACTTCTAAAATGCAATTTTACTTCAGTGCAGTTTGCTAGTTAGCTACTGGCTTTTCTTTTGAAAGCATTTCTTTGTGACACTATAGCCTTTTCAAAAGCTTTGACTATAATAATATGCTATGTCATACATACAATTGAAATATACATTGCAAGTAAAAGGAAACTTTTCTCAGAAGGAAAAAGACATGCTAATTTTCATCTGCCAATGAGTGAAATGTGGTTTTCTGAAGAGAGAAGAGAAAAAAGTAAATATGAGACAGACTTGCTGGCACTGATAATTGAAGTTGTTATGAATTCTGCCCACTTAAGTATTTGCTGGCAAAGGTCTAAAACTACTCTTGAATTACTGCATTTGACCCTAAAAGTCATTCCTTTGCAATTTCTTCTTGCGCTAATACTGTCTAACATAGCCAAAAATTGTAGGCTGTCAACTCAAGTTAGCACTGTGATAATTGTATTTTTCTCCCCCTGTAAATGTGTAGCATCTCATAAGTTAAACACTGCATTAGCTGTATCTTAAAAGAACTACGTATTAATAGATCGTTGCTTGCTTTTTTCTTAATTAAGCTGCTGTTTTCCAGTGAATTGCATCTCTCTTCTCTTGCTAAAAATTCTCAGAGGAATTTTCGGGTACAAGTTAGGTGAAACTTGGGCATCTGTAGAGAATTAACTGCATTTTATTGTTCATGATTGCAAGTAGTATAACTAAAAGAAAGGAGTGTTGACATTTGATTTTTTTTATTATTATTTTTTTTTTAAATACCGGCTTACTGTTTTCCTGTTCTTATTATATGCTGAACGTCATTTCTCTCATCTGCTTCGCTTCACTAGAAGTTGTGTATGTTGAACATTTAGAGTCAGTTCTATGATTTAATTGCACCGTGCACCATGAGAGTCAAGTGACAAAGAATGACAGTTATAACAACAAGTTTAATTTTAATAAAAACACAGTCTTAAGTTATGAAACATGTTGTACTTTTTATATTTTAAAATTTGAAAAGTTTTATTAAGTATAGTGAGAAAAAGTCAGTTTAAAGATTTAAATACCAACAGCAGTAATTCTATCCTCTGGACTTTCTGAAAAAACACCCGAATATTAATACTGTCAGTATTCTGTGTTGATACTAGCAGTGAAATAAGTCCTTTTCAGGTGTTCATTTAACTGAATGATCTTTGGCCAAAATTTTCAAATAATGTACAAGCAGTAGCTCTTGGAACAAAAGGCTTAGTTGATAGTGGCTTTCACTGAATTTCCTTTGACTTCCAAAGAAGAAGAGATCATCAAGGTTTATGAGGAGTGCAAATGGTACAGATATTCATCTAAGACATTGTATGATAAAGAGCTGCTGTAATGAAGAACAAAGGGTTTTGCATCCCACACTTAAAAAAATTCCCATTAAATCTGTAATTTTAAAATGGAATGTGGTATCTTGTTTTAGTTCTACAAACAATTTTGCTTAAGAAATTGGGAGACAAAAAAAAAAAGATTTTAGTCTAATCATCTGCAATTTACTGGGTGGTGTATTTTTTTTTACCCTGGACTCCCTGTATTTCCTTTTCTTGGAATTTTCTTTTCTTTGGATAGAATAAAAAAACATGAGAAAGTTCTTGTACTGGTGAAATGGTGTAAGTGTTTAGTTCCTATGAAAAACTGTCATTGAACTTGCACAGTTAAATTATTTGGTGCCATTTGAAATTCCAACCGCTCATCATTATAACTTGCCACAGGCAGAAGTGTTACACAAGCAAGTGAAACAAAATAAATATTTCCAATAAAACGCAACCTCTTTCAAGCCTTCCGAGGTGGGAAAGGCCATGGACTTCTAACACCAGCCTCAATTTTTCTGAAGTACATAGGGAGGATTGTGTGACAAGGAAGGGAAAGCTCCAAAGGAAAAAGAAGTGTTACCTTTTCAACTTGAACATTGTTTTGGTAACGTTCTTGTAATATTTTTCTCCTGGTTGTGGTACAAGGACAGTAAATCCTTATGCAGGTCAATAATCCACTGCACTGTTGAAGAATTTGAGCACCGTCTTTATTTAATGGGAACTTTTAGTAAGGTAGTTCATGTATGGACTAGGATGTAGAATGGAGGGCACAGAGATGCAGGTGCATGACCCTATGACATTGCCATGTTTTGTTTCCTTGAAAAATGTTTTTTCTTCCTCTGTACCTTTTGTTTCTAGATTAGCCAACAGCAGTTGTGACAACTCATGTACTCTTCTGCAATCACTTTCATGGTCTTGGATAAAGACATTGAAGGACAAGGCATTTTTAGTATTTTTTAATGCCATACAGATAGCCAAGACACATAGGGAGAAAAAGAACTGCTACAATTCATAGTTTCTTTCTATAGCTTCTCTCTAAATGCTGACATATGCTCAGGTTTTCAGATAGAGGAGTTTAAAACTTTAGTTGGTTCCCTAGATTAACAAAAATTGTATTTCCTAGGTGGGATTTTTTTAGTTGATTAAGTATGATTTCAAAATGTGATAAACCTTCACTTAAACAGTAGTAAAAAAAATAATCCATGCTGCCTGAAGAAGCATTGAAGAAACAGTCCTTCAAAACTTTAGCTGGTCATATTTAGTTTTTTGTGCGTTTTGCAAAACTTTCTGGTATGGAAGACTATAAGACTCCCAATGATTCAGTTTCTCTTTAAAATCTCCAATAATTACAGAAGGTGAACCAGGGGGAAAAAAAACAAAACAAAAACCCAACAAAAACTAAAAACCAAACCACCAAATCCTCTAAATTCCTCATAAAAAAAAAAAAAGGTTTGGGATTTGTATATTTTTTTGTCAGAGACTTTGGATGATGAGGGCTTACGTTAAAAAAAAATGTTTTACTTCACAAAATGATATAGTATTAGAACAAAAATCGTGACAAAATGGTACTCTGAAAATTTTCAAACAGTCTGAGTGACCAAAAGCTTACATCTTTGAACTTAATTTTGGCAAGTTGCTTATTTTATACCCTGTACTTCATTTTTACAAGTAATTATGAATGGGAAAAGAAAAGAGAATGTTAGTCTAATCTTACTCTTTTTTATGATTCAATATGTTTGTAATATTAACTTTTCATATAAAGTACCAGGCTTTTATAGAAATATACCCAAAATTTTGTAATGAATTTTAAGGCAAATTATAGAATCATAGAACAGTTTTGGTTGGAAGAGACCTTCAAGATTATTGAGTCCAACCTTTGTCCTAGCTCTAGCAACACCACTAAACCACGTGCCTAAGTACAGCATCTACCTGTCTCTTAAACACCTCCAGGGATGGTGACTCCACCCCCTCCCTGGGCAGGCTGTTCCAATGCCTGACAACCCTTTCAGTAAAGAAATTCTTCCTAATATCCAGCCTGAACCTCCCCTGGTGCAACTTGAGGCCATTACCTCTTGTCCTATCGCTTGTTACTAGGGACAACAGACCAACCCCCGCCTCGCTACAACCTCCTTTCAGGTAGTTGTAGAGAGCAATAAGGTCTCCCCTCAGCCTCCTCTTCTTCTATTATGTTCCTACTTAAGCTGAAACAGAGAAAGCATCAGCAATGCAGATTAAAAGAGAATTGTCATATGCCACCCAGATTTCAAGAATCCCAGGTTCCTTTAACTATAAGTCATGTAACCTCAGCAAGAGGGGGGAAAAAGAAAGATATAGAATAAAATAAACAGTGAAAGAAATTTTTTTTTTTTAAAGTTATGTGTTTAATATATCAAGGTACACAAAAGTTCTAAAAGTTTTAGAGAATTAAAAGGCTATTATGAAGGACACAACCTAATTAGATAATCACTATCTATAAAATGCTATAGATTACAATTTCTTGATCTGTGTTTCACTCTCCGGAGAGCAGATGAAGCAGTGAACTTTCATTCCAGACTGTAATTCTCTTCCTAATTTTCTCTAGTCACTCACAGGAATAACAAGTTGTTTCATGGGTGCTGGTCAGCATGTGGGGAGAGCAGAGATCCTGTCAAAAATCTATTTCACCATGGTCTTATATTTCTTTGCTGCTTCAGTAGGTGAAGGACAGAAGACTTTATATTGGTATGCTGAGCAGTGAGAACATCTACATTCTGAAATCATGTTATAAAAGCAGAACAAATATAAATCCTCTCAGTTACATCAATCAGACTGTCTTTACCTTCAGTATTTCCTGTTATATATAGTGGGAGAGAAGGATCAGATGAAGATTTTGGGAATTAAAATACACTATTGCTAGGTACTTTCCAAAAATCACCTTCCCTACAAAAGCATGTTGAGGACAAGGAGATAATTCTAGCCAGCTTCATTCACGTAAAACAAATAATTCCTTCTACACTTTTATTCCTGAGAGTGGGTTTTTTTTTTTTTACTTGCTGCACGACTTTTCACTATAGATATAGTACTTTCACAGCGGAAGTCTGTCCCTTTTAAGAACGCACTGTACAACAAGACCAGTATCAGAGACAAATGAAAAAGCACACCAAAAAATCCTTACGGTAGGAAATAAAGAGATAGCATATTATTGTCAGGATTAAGGGACAAGACAAACCACTTTTCTCTTGAAAATTCACACCA